AGAAAACTTCTGGCTCATCCAATAACTTTTTCCTTATCCAATAACTAGAAAGTAGAAAGAATGTGTTGGTTTCTTTTTGGCCATTAAAAGTGGTGTTTTTAGTACTCTAGTTCCCAATTAAAATTTGCATTGCATTTTCACAGAGAAATAGTATTATAAATGTAAAGTTCCCAGGCTAAGGGAACGGTCTGAATTCTGTCTTGACTAAAGTTAAATATTTGCTTTCCTAGACTGATGATGGAGAAGATGACCTGAAAAAAGGTACCCAGTTATTAGAAATATATGCTTTGGAAATTCAAATGTACACGGCACAGAAAAATAACAAAAAGCTTAAAGCACTCTATGAACAGTCACTTCACATCAAGTCTGCCATCCCTCATCCACTGATCATGGGAGTTATCAGAGGCAAGTTTGGTTTGGAGAGGGTGGGGGATGACTTAGGACGATATAGCAGGGTGTTTAATGAAACGCTTACTTTTTGGAACTAAGCTATATTCCTTGGGGCCAGTTCTATTCAGGTTATATAATTAAAAGACTGAAAGTACTGACGTAGTTTTTATTTGACCTTTATAAAGTGGTCACTCTTGCTATTTTTATTACTGAAAATATTCTCTTATATTTTATTCTTTACAGAATGTGGTGGTAAAATGCACTTGAGAGAAGGTGAATTTGAAAAGGCACACACTGATTTTTTTGAAGCCTTTAAGAATTATGATGAATCAGGAAGTCCAAGACGAACCACTTGCTTAAAATATTTGGTCTTAGCAAATATGCTAATGAAATCGGGAATAAATCCATTTGACTCACAAGAGGTGTGTGTGCTTTAATTGTTAATTTTTCTTATCAGCTGTGTTTTGCGGAAATAAATGTAATTTCTTTGTACATAAACAGTTAATTTTTTTTTTTACTGTGTTTAGGCCAAGCCGTACAAAAATGATCCAGAAATTTTAGCAATGACGAATTTAGTAAGGTAAGATTTTATATCTCAGTTAAGGTAAATTTCCTTAAAGCAGTTCATAAAGGGGAGAGAGAGAGAGAGAGAGAACTTTTAAGAATTCAGTTAATGTTCAGCATTTGCTCTTTTTGTATTTTCATATGAAATATATGGAAGTTTGTGAAATTTTTATCTTCTGAAGTAATTTATTATGCTATTTTCTGTAGTCAAATGATTTCGTAAAGTATGCACTGCTTGGTTTTCTTATTATCCACGTGTTTGTGTGTGTGTGTGTACATGCGCTCACACGTATGTACTTGCTGTTTTTCAGTAGAAAACTGTGGATGTCTTAAAATATTATTTTACAGTGTTTACTGCCTCTCCCTCCCTTAATCCAAAATGAAATTATGAATTGCTTCAAAAAGAGTGAAGAATTTTCAGTAAAACAAGACTACATAAACATATTTCTTTATGCGTAAACATATTTTCTCAATGACAAGACAAAAATATCATTTGAAATGGATAGTTTTCTGAAGTGGAGGGTGGGGAGGCAGAGGGGTCATACTGGTAAGAAACCCCAAGAATTTTTTTAATTCTCCTGTGGAGAAAGATGTGAATAATGATGGTTAGCCACTGAAGAGTCTGCCATAATCAACTAATATTAAACAAAATTATAGAATATCAGACCAAACAATAAGCCTAGAAGAGAAGGCCTATTTTTGCAAAAAGAATCAGTGAACAAGAGAAACTTTCCTCTGGGCTAGGAATAAATGGAACCCTAGTCTTTTGTGAACTTTCTTTGTAGAGAATTATAAGAAACTTACTAAGTTTCTTCAAATCCTTTATTTCTCATTGTACAGCTGAGTTTACCAAGGCCAGAAAAATGTAGTTAGGAACACAGGGCAATTTTTTTCTCGTGGGTATATGTAGGTAATTTAGATGATCAGATGTTCTGTTAGTAGTCTTTTC